TATACTATGCCCTTCCATATGGAAGGAGGGCCAGGGTAGTCCTATAATTTTTGGCACTACAGCAGCAAATGCAAACTTGGAATACCAGTCATACAAGTATGAAATACCATTATGGTATGTAAGGGGTTGGAAATTTCTGTCAATCCAGTTAAGGATCTGTAGATTCAAAGATTTGCCCCTTTTTCCTTCTTACCAAAGTTCACTTTCCTGTTTGTTCATCACAAGTAACATTCCTATATCAGGGAGTCCAGAAACATTTATTCTTGTCAAGGGACTGGCTTTTTCAGATGTGTTTTCAGTATCTTAGTTAAAGTAGGGAAGGAAAAATACCCCAGGAGAGGCTCAGTTCGGAGGGTTGCAAGAAACTTTTCAGTCAAGTTTATTAATGGACAAATAGTATTTGCTTTTTACTTAGATTGTTTGTGATCCTTCCATTTAGTTTCAGTTCAGGAAAAGTGGAAGTGAAACTCACAGGGCTGAAGTGACTAGGACTGACAAGCTCTTCCTTGGTGGGATACTCTTGTCTTGAAAATCCTGCTCTGCTAAGAGCCTCTTGATCCTCGTGCATGAGTCTTGAGAAGTCCTTTCCCTCTCTCTCTCTCGCTGTGTGTATGCTGTGTCGTGCATAGGTGGGGCAGCTGCATTGGTTCAGTTCTTCTGAAATTTTTATGGAAAAGTACAATTCGTCTTGGCTGAGCACATACTTGGGCTTCTTTCCAAAGCTACCAAAGTAGCCAGCTGGAATGATAAATGGCCAATTTGGAGCCATATTAATAATGAGGCATGTTACACTTATCCTTTATAAGTTGTTTTAAATCTGTGAAAGCCAAGTTGGAAGACAAATGACATTTTAAAATATTCAGCAACGTCTAAGATTTCTTCTCAGACAATGCCTCTGCAGAAATCCCGGAACATTTCAGTTGTCATCTAATTATGACTGACAAGGTTAACAGGTTCAGGGAAGCCCAGGAAACCTCATTTTTCCCTGAAGCAAAGTAACTCCCTGTTTTTGTGTCAGCTACCTTACTGCCCACTTTATGGCTTTTCTGTATTTACTTTGCTGTCAACACCTTCAAGGAACAGAGATTTCCATTTTCAAGTTAATAAAAGGGAAGCATTTCCACCAAATTTGATATTGTGTGGGTTACACATCTCGATTAAACTTCAAAAGGTATCTTATTCACAAGTAAAATGTAGAAGCGATCTTGTCCCTTCGAGTCTGTGTGCTGCTGCCGTCTTGCAGGCGAATTCCCAGTGTCCTTTAGTAGTCACCGCAGCACTCCACGCACGGAAAAAGAATGTGTGACAATTATATCACCCAAAGAGATCATACACTGGCAATTATTATAGGAGAACTGTATTAATGTCTACAGTGGATTTTTTCTTTTTTTTTGAAACAACCTTTAATGCGGTGGGGAGTGTTACATTATTAACATTCATTCTTAAGATTTTTCAAGGTTATTTTGCTACCTCTCCGATATTTATGCTCAGTGCTTGTTTTCTGTTGCTCGAGTGAGATGTTGTGTATGTATCATTCCATTCACATGACTTAAGTAACAACTCTGTAACACTCCTGCTTTTCAGTTGTTGATGAGACACTTCATAATGCTGTTGAGTAGTAGCATCTGTAATTTTTGTTTTGGGAGGGGGAAAAAATTTCTGTCAGAGAGAAGGGCTGTTTCTTAACCTGGTTTCCTGAAGCAACAAAGGTAAAGCAGCTCAGATCTGTATGTGTCCATTGGCCCTTCTCCTGCAACAGTTTTTTGAATCGGTTGGTTACTGTTAAGGACATTCAACTTTGCGCTGCCTCCTGCACACGGTTGGCAGGCTGAGCAAACATGGGGTGGAGCTGTACAAGAGGATGGCAGTACTGAAGTGTATGGGGAGAGGGGATGAGGCACTTAGGAGGTACCAGGCAATATTTCAGTGGGAGTCTGTGATGAATTAAAGACATTGTGAGACGCTGAGGTGGGGGGGAACTGAGGGTGCAGGATATAACTCACAGGAAACCAAGATTCTGTGGATTTACTACTCTTGGTTTTTAGTAGTGATATAAATGAAATCAGAACGGGCTTTTACGTAAAGATGGTTTTGACTGATTTCTTTTGCTTTAAAAGAAATGGCCCTCTGGTATTCTGCCTTCCCAAAGGCAGTGTTATCATGCTCATTCTTTCTTCTCAGAAGAGCACCCTGTGCCTCAAGGGAAGAGCTTTTGTTTTGTTAGTGCAGTCCAGTTTGGAGCTGCTCACAAGAATGCCAGAAGTGAGAATGACTTTTTTTCATTATGTACTGAAATAGGATGCTCAGAGGTATTTTGGTGTTGCACTGATAACTCAGCACTCTCTCAAACGCAGCAAATTTGCCTCTGACTGCAGCAGAGAACAGAACACCCCTGTGCTGGCTTTAAACTAGCTGTCATGGTTTGAAGAGTAGCTGTCAGTCTGGATAAGGAAGTTCAGAGTTCAGCACAGCCTGTGAAACCCATGTGGGCAACTCCTGTTGGTACAGAGCGCCTGCTGGGAGCTCCAGGCTGCTGTGGCTCAGCTGCTGCGCCTAGAGAAACCCCGTCAACAGCTGCTCAGGTGTGTGCATGCTGTACTGCACTTGCTGTGGTGTGCAGTCACGGACGTGAGTTTGGGCTGAATTTGAGTCAGTGAGCAGTCTCAACATAAAGACATCTTCCTGCTCGGTCCCCTGGGCAAACTGGTGTCTTTGATGTATTACACTTTCAAGTCTGCCGTTGCTCTTGCAACGAGGCGTAACATCAAACTTCGTAATTTCAAATATTAATGTGCGTGCCAAGATGGTTCAAAGAAATTTTGGCTGCCCTGCTTATCAGGGGTGAGCTGGTACCGACATTCACAGGGAGTTATTTGCCATCACCTCTTCTTACTCAAACCAGCTTGTATGAGTCCTGTCATCTTTGTTGTATTTGTGTGTAAGTTTGTGCAACTTCTCTTTTAGATTGGTTTACAGATGTGGTTGGAAAGCACTTACATTGTTTCAGATACACTGACTTGCTTCCCATTAGCAGCTTGGTGTGTGAATAATGGTCATAATAACCCTAATAATACTTTGCAAATTGAGTCTTGCTTTCCTTGCAATAGATCTTTAAAGATCTTTTCTTTGAGATAGAGTTTAATTTCTACACAGATCATTCCTGTAATACTTTTTTTTTTTTTTGGTCTTTTCCCTCATATGATTCATGAATACAAAATTCACATTCAAGGAAGTCTTAAGTCTTAGGTTTCCATAGTTAATGAACGTAACTATTGCAAACTATTTCATGTGTATAAACATGTGAAGTTATGTGATGATAAACATCAGTAAATATTTAGAAGCCTGAAAAATTTGTAGTAAAATTAACTGTGAGCCAGAGCTGACTCCCATTCAGCTAGGTAAGGCGAGCACATAAGGTCTAGTTATGAACCACTATTTACTTGTTATTCTTTATGTACAGTGAACAATTACATGGAAAGCCCTTGACAAGGATTGAGACCTTACATGAATCCAACTTTGCTTTTGTGCATGAATTTTAAAGATCTGTCATGACCTCTGATAATTTTTTGGTTTTGTTGTTTTGATTGTTTTTTTTTAATCGCTGGTCTTTTTTATTTGTCCTGCTGGTGTGCCACTGTATCTTACTTATGCTCAGAAGAGTCAAACACAAACATACTTGGTGTCTAGCTGCCATTTCCATGTCATCCTGAGTTCCCTTAGAATATTTTAATAACTGATTTCCATATAGGAAAATAGCTGCTCATAAAGTCCTGACTGATGAAACGTGGAAAAAATTCTCAGTTCTGCAGTTCCTCACATCCTCTCCTAGCCATCACTTCCCCATCTGCTTCCATCCTTCCCTTCCCGAGAGCGTTGGTCTGTGAGCCCACTAATGTTTTGGGAACCACTCGTGCAGATGATGTTCGTACTAGTGTAAGAAGCAACGTTTGTGGCCGTGGTCTCTGTTGGGGACTGGGAGGAGAGACTGCTGTTCTCATACTGCCTCTCACCTTACTGCGCTATGACCTTGACTATATCTTAAATTACCTTCTTGGCTGACAACCTAAGCAGGACATTGGCTTCGTGTTTATAGAGCACTTTGAACACGAGTGGAGCTACCAACGTTGAATCATTGTAGGAAAGTATGAATGCTAGGTTTACCTAAGGTTAGCACAAGCCCAGGTGGTGTCACCTCTGCAGTGTTTCCTATCCACTGACTGACACAGGGCTTGCTGTTACTGTGAGCATCCTGGCCAAGTCACAGAACCCTTCCACTGCTTCCTCCATGTCCCTGTGTTTGTAAAGATGAGACAGAATTGAACCTGCTTTGCCTGTATACCAAATAAATCATGGCGTTAAAAAATTGTGAGGAGGAGCATGATCTAATATCCTTTCCGTTAATTTGTCTAGATCTTGCTCATTTTAAATATTATGCATATGTCTGAGGAGAGAAGGTGGTATAGAAGTATGGGAATATACAGCAGCAGCCTAAGTTTTGAGTTGCTAGGAGTTAAGTAGGAGTAACTGAGCGTCATGTTGGGAGCTTGCTTACGGGCACCAATCCTGCAGAGACTGAAGGATATGTTCAATTGCAGTAGACATATTACAGCCTATCTACAGTGTGTAAAATCAATCATCCTGCATATTGGCAGGATGAGTGTTCTAGCAGTGTGAAAAGAGCAACTGATTAGGTTTGCTCTGTGTGAGGAATTTTCTCCAGTTTCAAGTAGATGTTTCTTCCTGTAAAGGACCCGTGCTTTTGTCCTTATTACTCTTTGTAAAGATATGTCTAAAATACATATCACAGCATGAACAGAATCTTATTAATAGGGAATACACAGTTATTCAGTAGCTTGTATTAAATAAATATTTTTCAATTTTCTTGTCATTTGCCAGAGCTAATTTAGAGGGGGGGGATGTGTAGTATAAGGATATATTTTGGTCATGGGATCTCCTTCTTCTTTGAATGCTGACCAAATGTCCTGTGCCTCTCTTTACAGCTTCCAGCTACAGTTTTATTCTGAGCATTAGTGAAGAGGAAGCCAGGGTGAAGGCTTTGAACGAGTACCTGAGCACTCGTAGTTATATCCAGGGGTTCACATTTTCACATGCAGATGTGGAGGTATTCAAAAAGTTTTCGGGGCCACCTGTGGACCAGTATATCCATGTTGTCCGGTGGTACAGACACATAGAAGCAATCTATGATGGCAGCAGTGAAAAAAATGAGCCTTGTAAACTTCAAACAAGTGAGTAATACAAAACTGATGCGCAGGTTATAGACTAGCTGACATTGTGTTGGTTTTTATTGCGGAAAATTCCTGGAAGTTCCCTTTCATTCTGTCTTGCACGCTTTAAAATTTACCTTATCAACTTGTATTTAAGGTCATTAAATTCTTCCATACAGTTACCGTGTGATTGATAGATCCTGACCTATTTGAATGTTAAAGCTGTTTCCACATTTCTTCAAAATTCCTCAGTGTACAGAATTCAATTATGGGTATTTCGTTTAAAAAGCTAGCCACTGGGCTGTAAAAGAAATGTGGGGTTTGGCTTGTTCCTTAAAATACTGGGATTTGCTCAGTCCGCTGTTCTTCCCCTCCAAGGGTAACTGAATAGTTGTATAATACACAAGTTCATACTGAAGTAAACTGAATACTGCCTCTTCGATTGTTACTAACACTTAATTTCAAAAAGAATGTTTGGGGTTCTTTTTCAACCCCACTAATTTAAGCATTGCTGACGATTTGAGGAAATGCTAACCGGTTAATCTAGGTCATTGTGTAAGCATGGGTGCTGGCATTTTTGCGAGCTGCATCACTCTCCTGAGTTGTTTTCCAATGAGCTAGTCTAATTTAATTGCTTTATAGTGAGATCCTGGTTCAAGGAGTCATGAAATAATTAATAATAATAACAACACAGAGCTGTTGTATAGTGTTTGCAGTACCTATGAATGAATGCATAATGTCTGTCATTTTTGCTGATGGTTGTTGACTAATATTCCTCCAATGCCATCTTCTCACAGCCTCTCATCATAGGTGTTCTCAATTCCTAGCAGAGCAGCAGTTAAAGTCAGACTGCTGCGGGTGGATTCTGTATATGTGTGTGTGCCTGCGTGTGTCTGTGCTGGTTATTGATTTCCCTTGAGCAGTGAAGAGGTCCCAGCTGTACCACTGGCTCTGATAGCAGATTTAATGCCACTAATGACCATTTGTTCGCAGAATTGCATGAATCAGGGTGGAGCAGTAAGAGAAAATGTTTCTGTTTTCCTGTTCATGAAATCTTTGGTGTTCAGTTTCTCTTTCTACAGGGTTATGTCTTGTTATCTTCATGATCTGTGCATATGTATCAAAAGTCCTGAAATGGTGTTCTGCAGTGCACTATGAAAATGGCATGTGTTGAGGGTTTTTTTTTTTTGATATATCAGAGACCTGTAGGGGTGGATTAGAGCAAATGAACTTCAGTTTGCAGGGGGAAAACTGTAGCTGCCAAAGATGTATGTGAGCAGACATTTGAACGGCATGCCTTTTTCTTTGCCCTTGGTGTCCATGTCACGGATATACCGTGACACCTAACTTGCAAGCTGAGAACTTTAGGGTGCAGTATCTGGGTTTTTCATATGTTTAGTGTGGTTGTAAGTCAAGAAAGCTTTACAGTTTTATCTTTTATTAGACTAACCCACATAGGCTTTCTTCCCTGAGGGAAACGTTAGCCACAATTAAGCATGCCAGCGTAATCTTTGTAAATCAAAGAGTAAACAAATCCATACCTTGGTATATGGTCTGTGTTGTGAATAGACTGCTCTTGAGCTTGAGGTGTTCTATTCAGAAATAACTCATACAATGAAATGTTTAGGATAAACACATACTTACGTGGATCCATAGCATGGAGATTTCATGGAGTCCATTTGTGAGACAGGGTACTACATTTAGTATCTTCCTTTCTTATTTAGGCAGTTATCCAAAAAAGGAAGATGAGGAAGAGATTAAATTTTTTTTTTTATACTGTGAATGTTTACATTACTTGAAGGTTTTCCACCAAAATATTCGTACGAAGATATCAGGGGAACAGAGTTAATGAAGAGCACTCTCAGACACAGGATCAGAAAGGAATTTTGTTGTCAAAACATATAGTTTGTGTAATATTTTAATTGCAGTTAAAATGCATATCATGAGAATTCCTAAAGACAGTGCTGTGTGTAAGACTGGCAACCTTGATGTATTTTTGAATTTCCTGGTTTGCTTTCATTCCTAGCTAATGTGATAATTAGTTTAACGTTGTTAGAGCTGTAAGCAGCCCTGTGCATAGCAAACTGCAGCTCTTCGACAGATAACATATACGTACTTTTGTTCAGAAAACCCATGAGTTCAACAATTGTGTTGCTTTTTAAAATTGAAAAGAAAACAAATGCAAGAATACTGTCGCTAATATGACAATATTAGCTGAACATGAGCTGTCCATGAGTGCTGGCGGCCCAGAAAGCCAGCTGTATGCTGGGCTGTATCCAGAGCAGTGTGGCCAGCAGGTCGAGGGAGGGGATTCTGCCCCTCTGCTCTGCTCTTGTCATACCCCACCTGGAGTGCTGCGTCCAGCTGTGGAGCCCTCAACATCAGAAGGGTATTGACCACTTGGAGCGAGTCCAGAGGAGGCCATGAAGATGCTCCGAGGGCTGGAGCACCTCTGCTCTGGGGACAGGCTGGGGGAGTTGGGCTTGTTCAGCCTGGAGAAGAGAAGGCTCCAGGGAGACCTTATAGCACCTTCCAGTACCTGAAGGGCCTACAAGGAAGCTGGGGGGGACTTTTTACAAGGGCCTGTAGTGACAGGACAAGGGGTAATGGGTTTAAATTGAAAAGTGGGGAGATTTAGATTGGCTATAAGGAAGAAATTCTTTATGGAGAGGGTGGTGAGGCACTGGAACAGGTTGCCCAGAGAAGCTGTGGATGCCCCATCCCTGGAAGTGTTCAAGGCCAGGCTGGATGAGGCTTGGAGCAACCTGGTCTAGTGGAAGGTGTCCCTGCCCATGGCAGGGAGGTTGGAACTGGATGATCTCTAAGGTCCCTTCCAATCCAGACGATTCCATGATTCTCTGATTCTATTAATATTACTCTGGGTTTTACCTGCCTCTTGCTGAATTGGAACTATTTGTGGTAAATGTGTTCAAAAACGCCTTGTGTACATAGCAGCAATGTGTGATAAAAAGCTGAGGTTCTTTCTAAACTTTTCCATCTGCCCTCCCTCTCACCCTGAGTACAGGTACTTTGTCAATATTGGCTCTAGAGGCCGACTCTTCTGATCTCTGGACATATTTTGCAAATTCGGTATGAGATCTGTGATGTGCCGACACAGTATAATCAGTGGCATTGCAGAAAGCCCAGGACTGCCATAATACTTTATTATTAACTCATTAAATTTCAAAGCTCTTGCTAATGCTTTAACTGAATTGCATGCTCTCACTTTTACGCCCTCTTTCTTCCTGTTACTCTCATCAACAGTTAATAGCAACGGCAAGTTGGAGAGTAGAAAATAAACTAGATTGAAATAATTTATTTCGGGTTTAGTGGCTTTGTAGGAAGCCCTAACAAAAGTAGTTGGATTACTAGGATTGGAGCTGTTTTGTCTAATTATATGTGTTGGGGTTTTTTTGAAATAATGATGTGATAAGGAGAAAATGTTATACTGCAAAATTGTTTGTGGAAGGTATCTTTTCAGTTCTCTTTAACCTATGTTTTTCCCCTAGGTAAAGGCAAGCGTGTGCAGCCCCCCTGGTCTCCCCCAGAAGGGACAAAACATTCTAGGCTCTGCCTCTACAACAGTCTGACTCGCAATAAGGTGACTAAATGAAAGAAAAGTGGAGAATTGCATAGAAAAATGAATAGAGAAGTCATCAAATGCTTGTTTATTAAGTGTTTACCCAATCAGTAGTTGGGTTTCTGGGTTGTATCTTGCGGAATGTTAACAAGCACGTGCCAGAGGTGCTGTGTCAGGCAAGTGTGTTTGCTGAGGCAAGTGTTATAATATATGCAGTAAATATACATATGGGACAAGTGTGTCTATCGCATAATACGTAGTTCACAATTGCCAGTTATCATGCAAAATAGCTGGAGGTTCCACTGTAATACGCATAAGTATAGGCAATGTGAACAGAATAAAGTCAGTTTCTTTAGATGTCTGTGTAAAAAAAAAAAAAAAAAAGTCGCATCAATTATATTATTGTAATACAAACTTCTTGTTTGATGGCTCTTTGGGAAAGAGGGGAAATACTAAGAATACTTATGTTATATGGGATGTAGTATGCAAGTATATGTGAAATTATTATACTCTGTAACCTTTTTCAGTGCAAAAGAAACCCCGAACATCCGTTTTCCAAACACAGCTTGAATAATGCCCTGACTAGTCCAAATCTTTGTAATCTGGTATCTTGATTGATAAGAGTGCAGATAACAGGCAGCCACACCCTGTTCTCTCTCATGTGGTAAAGCTAGTGGTGATCTTTTCTTATGGTAAAACTGGGAGTGGAATAACTATTCATTTTTTGCAATTATAATCCATGTTTCATGTTGTAATTTCCAAATGTGGTGTTACTGGCCTGAGGTCATGTCTTCAATTTCTTCTGATCACTGTACCTTCTCTTTCAATTAAGGAAATCTTTCAGCCTCAGAATGGAAAAAAGGTCCTGTGGTATTGCTGTGGTCCAACAGTTTATGATGCATCGCACATGGGACATGCCAGGTACTCCAGTTCCTTATTTTGATACAGGTAATAACAGTGCTTATTGGAAGCAAAAGATTAATAGAAAAAGGTACTTTATTTAAATGAGCGTATTACTAGAAAATAACCTTGTTAGACACAATGCTTGACATTTAAGATTAAAAGCATATTATCATATGTCATTTTGTGATTAAAAATTTAGGAGTAGATGAGGGAAAATTAAAACTGCTGTAAGATTATTGACTCTGAGATTGAAGTAGTGTATGGAATAGACATAGGCTTGAGGCGTTCATTAAAAACGTCCCTATATCTTTTATGTTTTTAGGTCATACATCTCATTTGATATCCTGAGAAGAATCTTGAGGGATTATTTTAAATATGATGTTTTCTATTGTATGAATATTACAGATATTGATGATAAGGTAAGGTCTTTTAAAATTGCAATCTAAAATAACGTACTTTGAGCACAGAAGTCATATGTAATTGCCGTTTGATAAGCCAAGATAAATCTTGCACTTACTAATTTAGACATACATTTTGTACACAAAGTCATTGATTTTTCTCAGTTTTGTAGTATTTCCTAGAAAAGCCTGTATTCTTGTGTGAGTGAGTGTTGTCAGAAATAGTGAAAACTTAGCATTTGGTAAACATAACTTATTTATTTGCCTGTTGTTGAGATACTAGCTGATTAACTATGTATGGTGTGTTTAACTTGTATTTCTGCATGTAATTCTTCTAGCTTGTTAAATCTATGGGGGTTCTGAAAAGCCTCTGGTGTGTAATAATTAGATTTTAGTTGCACTTTCTATAACTACCTGTAGCTTCACAAAAGCATTTTGATATTTTTGCTTTGTAGATCATCAAGAGAGCAAGACAAAATTACCTTTTTGAACGATATAGGGAGAACAAATCAGCACCAGCTCAGCTACTTGAAGATGTTAAAACTGCCTCAGAGGTGGGCATGGTATCTGATCCCTGCTAGTGTCTTAGGTTCTTACACAGTGATGTAGGAAAGCATATGAAGAATGCCTCTGGCATTCTACCTCCTTAAACTTTGTGCTTGTTTCAGTTATCCTCCTGAACTGGTACCACACAAATTAGAAGTTTTATTGAAACTGCACATCACTTTGATTTCCTGTTGTTTTAGAACTATCTGTAAATGGCATGCCTGATTTTTATGTTCATAGAACTTGTTTGTGAGTGCATGTATATTCCTGTGGGGGTAATGGGGGAAAAGCTCAAAAAGCTTTTGGATGTTTGTGTGTTAGAATTAAAATTTTAAAAATAACCCTTTAAAATAGTTTTTAAGTTGTGGTGGTACATCATAAAGCTTATGAGATTTCTCTTTTGTAGTATGGATGGGCTTGGAAAGAACAAAAAGTCTCCAAAGCTTTAGGGAGTTAATGAATTGTGTATGCTGGTCTGAAGGTGGGGGAAGGTGGTTATCTGGTCATTTTTAGAACTACAGATCACAAAGAGATTATCAGTCTAATGAACTGAATACAGGCCTCAGAACAGGAGGCCTGGAAATTTTGCCCAGCTCTAATTGTCTGACATACTCTCTAAGCGTAGCATTTAATGTCTCTCTGTTTCACATTAAAGCTTCTCCTTTTCAGGGTTGTGATAACCAGCTCTGTAATTGAGGTGATGAACTGCATAGAAAATGAAAAGGACTAAACAACAGTAATGATGGTGTAGTAATTTATAAAGTCTTTCTGAAAAACTGAATTCGGACGTGAACCAAGTTCTTTTGACTTCACCTTTGTTTCTGATGTATGGAGTATGTTTCAGAAGTTTGATAGCAAAGTTTTTTATGTGGCATAGTGTATTATTCATCACTAGCAAGGTACTGTGTGGCTAAGATGATATATTGTGTATGGAGCATAGGACTACTGTACTGGAAGTTGCTTTCTAATTATTTTTTTTTTCTAATTGTAGCTCTTTTCAATTAAATTAAATGAGACAACAGACCCAGATAAAAAGCAAATGTTGGAAAGAATTCAGGATGCAGTGAAGTCTGCTTTTGGCCCTCTGCAAGAAGCTGTGCAAGCCAAACTCCCTGCAGAAGACATCAACAGATGTCATGAGGTCAGTTTGAACTCCTTTTCAAATTATATTTGTCTTGTAATTGTTAGGGGGTTTAAAATTAGTATTTAGCTTGTAGTAATTCCCTGAAACTTTATGGAAATTTTTATTCATAAAAAAAGGGAATGGTGGGCCTGAGGACTTCTTAGTATTTTGCATTCCATACAGGAAATTTAATCCTTGAATTCAACTATATACTTTTTGGATGTTTTATCAATGACTAGGTTTTTTTTTTCCTCCTTCCACTGTGATAGTTACTCAGTTAATTTTGAGTGGATTTTTCTCTTGCATATATTTAGACTTTCTCTTTGAATCTTTTTGGTCTTGATGAATTAGTTTCTGTATAAATTACTGAAAATGCACTTATGACATTCCAGTACTGGTGGCAGTTTTCTACAAAAGTGTTTATGTCTCTGATCCGAGAATAATATATATCCCCTCAAAAAATTATGCTGAGGGTAGTTTTTACCCAAAGAGCATTACATTTAGTGACAGTAGTCCTTTTGACTTTATTGGACTTTGGTACTCTCCCAGTAACCAGGTCAGGTAATATAACTACTTTTAGTAGTTGGTTTCCACTTTCATCTTTTCCTGTTTTCAGATTATTGTAGGAAGCACAGGGTATGTGCTTCCTTCTTGAGAAGGCTCTAAATTACCTTTTTTTTTTAAAAGTCCAGCTGTTCTAATATCCCGTGACTTATGAAAGTGTATACTGACCTAACGGTATTTTAAAACCAGCTAAAATCTAAGCAATCAAACCTTCTGTATCTCATTGTTAAAAAATTTCATCTTTTAATATAAAACTAGAATATATCCTTGCTGACATTCAAATTAGTCTTTCAAGCACTTCAAGCAATGTGCACAGTAAGGCTTCTGTTACAATTATCCGGTAGAGATGGGGGGAAGAGATGATGTGAAATAACTGCAGGTCCCATCCAATGTTTGCAGTGTAAATTCCACATGCCTGTTTAAGTGATTGACATCAAAACTGGTATCACTTACCAGTTTATCTTCCTTCCTCTGTTTCATCCATGTTTATGAAGGGCAACATGATAAAAATCTGACAGAAGCATAGGTTACTCTGTCTTCATAGCCAGGAGCCTTTTTGCTGCAGCAAACCTCTCTGTTCAGAATAAGAACTTTCTGCAGGGCAAGTCTTTGACCAGTTGCACTTACAATTGTTGTTTTATAGATACTGTTGGAAGAAGCCAAGGATTTGCTGTCTGACTGGTTAGACACAAGATTTGGCAGTCAGGTGACTGACAATTCCATATTCTCAAAGCTTCCCAAATTCTGGGAAGGGGAATTTCATAAAGATATGGAAGCACTCAACGTAAGTAAACAAGCCGCTAAGAAATTATGTGATGATGACAGTCAAGGACAGCTTTGTTTGTTACAGATGAAATGCCATGTCATATGCAGTGGTTTGGATCGGTGACGGTTTATTTATTCACCTGTAAATCAGAGGAACTTATTGCCTGTTCTGTCAAAAGTGCAATAAGTGGAAGAGCTGACACAGAATCATAGAATCA